GTCTTGCACGTTGATGTGCATGCTAAGCTTTGGTTACTCTGCAGCACAGTAGAAGACTCTAGAGCATTTTGACCTTCTTATCAAAGACTTTATTGTTAATTTCATCAATATTCCCCCATTGTTTTAGGTGAAGTTCTCTGCATCTTGTTTGTTTTATTCCTTGTTTTGTTTTTAAGTTTGTGAACAGTTTGAAGCAAAATCTGTTTCTATGCCTTTTACTTTTTAAGTCAATATTACCTTGTAATACTAAATTCACCTACTTAATGTTTCAGTCAACCATTTGCATTTATAATGATTGGAACATTGATATTCTAGCAATGTGATTTTACTGAATTTTGTTTAGATTGATGAGTTAGTTCACATTGTTGATATTAGATTCACCTACATAATCTCAGGGTTGTCATATTATATTTACCTCTGACTGTTAAATTTATAATGCTTGGGACATCAAAATTGTTCAATTTGGTACAACAACAACAACAAACCCAATCCCACAAGTAGGGTCTGGAAAGGGTAGTATGTACGTAGACCTTACCCCTGCCTTCAAGAAGGCAGGTAGGGGGCTATATGCACTTGTTGTTGGCTAGGTTGATGATTTAGTTCAGATTACTGATTGTTGTTGGCTCAGTTATGAAGACGACTTCTAGAAATTTTATTTGTCTCTATGAAGAACAAATTTTGGGATATGGAATAAACTCCGATAAATAGTAGAAATTAAACCACTACTAACACTATTTGTTTGGTGTCCTTTTTCCCCCCTGTTTCTAGAGCTCGAATAAAAAAGTTTACTGATTGCTGAATATTGTTGCAGACGCTTATGATGCACTCGATCCAAATGGAAATATTACCATAAAGTGGGATGTCATATCTTGGACTCCAGATGGATATAATGTGAGTGTATTTGCTCTTATTTTACTAGCGAAATGTTCAAAGGGAGATATGACTCTATCTAGAAGGAACATGATTTCAAATATATCATTGTCTCATTTCCAATCTAATTGGATTGCCATTTAAGCATTGAAGGATTTCATTTTGATCCCTCACTCCTCAAGATGAAACATAAATGAATATATCTTTACTTTTGTGTTTTGTCTGAAACAGGATAGGACGCACATATCTTAAAGGTCCCCTCTTATCTCACTTCCACAAAATAAACAACCTAACCTCAGGGTGGTTCAAGTAATTAATTCTGTTCTTTACCAATTCAAAATGCTACAATAGCCTTAATGGCAATGATGTGCTCTAATTTCATTAGCTCTTTCTGTAGAGTACATCGGTCCCTTATATAATCTTTCCTATCTAAGCATTTTTTTTTAGAGAGGTAACATTGTATTAATCAAAACCACAAAGGCTGTGCTGGTTCATATTTCCAATCTAAGCATATTTTATATATGAAAGGTTTTAGGACCCATAAGACTACACTTAAGTTGATATGTTTGTTTTTATAAGTTTCTCTAAGTGCATCATTTCCTTGTTTATTTGAATTAGTGCAACATGGAAGTTCAAATTTTTTTCTTTTTTTTCCTTTTTATCTAGTAGCAAAATCACTCATCACTTAAAATACCATCCAGAGCTTATAATGAAGTTTATTACAATAGTGCTTGACCCAAAGAGTATTTTCTCCCCTGAATTATGCAGGTTGTTGTTACAATATATAACTTCCAAAAGTATCGTCATATTCAAGCACCAGGATGGCAACTTGGTTGGACATGGGCAAAAAAAGAGGTAATTTGGAGTGCAACGGGAGGTCAAGCCACAGAACAAGGAGATTGTTCAAGATTCAAAGGAAATATTCCTCATTGCTGCAAAAGGGACCCAACCATTGTTGATTTGCTGCCAGGAACTCCGTATAACCAGCAAACTGCAAATTGTTGCAAAGGTGGAGTAATTAGCTCATGGGTTCAAGATCCACAGAAAGCTGTGAGCTCATTCCAGCTCGGTGTTGGTCAAGCAGGAACAAGCAACAAGACAGTGAGGTTGCCGAAAAACTTTACCCTCAAGGCACCAGGACCCGGATATACTTGTGGACCTGCGAAGAAGGGGAAACCAAGCAAGTTTCCAACACCAGATGGAAGAAGGGTCACTCAAGCTTTGAGTAAGTTATAGTGGATTATCAAGCTATGAGTATCCAAGAAAAACTTTTTTCAGTGGTTGCATGTTTTCTTTTTCAATTAAGTATATTGTTATTTCTATTCCATTCCTTTAGTTTCTCAAGACACTAATGACATGACACATCGGTAAAAGATGCCTACCTTTTGAGCATGAAATTTGTTTTTTGTTCTACTGGCGAGTGGTATAATCATTTTACTTGTATCTTTTTTTTCTTGTAGTGACGTGGAATGTTACTTGCACCTATTCACAGTTCCTAGCTCAGAAGACACCTACCTGTTGTGTCTCACTCTCCTCCTTCTACAATGACACCATTGTGAACTGCCCAACATGCGCCTGTGGTTGCAAAAATAACATAACTCAACCTGGAACATGTGTAGAGTGAGTGGATACTATCTTTAATCTCAAAATCTCCCTTTCTTTTTCATTTTAGCTTCAGGAACTTCGTAATATTCATATGAAATTTTTATGCTCTCTGACAGGCAGGACTCCCCATATTTAGCTTCAGCACTTGTAAGCTCAGGAAAGAATGATTACAGTCCTCTGGTTCGATGTACTGAACATATGTGTCCCATTCGAGTTCATTGGCATATTAAGACCAACTATAAAGAATACTGGAGGGTAAAACTCACCATACAAAATTTTAACTACAGAATGAACTATTCCCAATGGAATCTTGTTGTTCAGCACCCCAACTTTGACAATCTCACCCAGATATTCAGCTTTAATTATGAGCCACTGGTCTCGTACGGTTCCATTAGTGAGTAATCTTTCCCCTTGATAAGTAAATACAACTTTTTATATACATTTGAGCTTTCTAACTGATTTTCTTTTAATTGATCTTGTACAGATGATACTGCTATGTTTTGGGGAATCAAATTTTACAATGATTTGCTAATGCAGGGAGGACCTTTTGGAAATGTGCAATCAGAGATCATATTTCAGAAGGATAAATCGAAGTTCAGCTTTGAAAAGGGATGGGCTTTCCCTCGACGGATATACTTTAATGGGGACAACTGTGTTATGCCACCTCCGGATGCCTATCCTTACCTACCAAATGCTAGTGCCCAAAGTGCGCCCACTATACTTCACTCTCTGACAGCAATTTTGGTGTCTCTGATTCTACTATATTCACATACCTTGTAATATTATAAGAAAGAAATAGAATTAAGGATTGTCATTGCTTCCGAAAGAGAGAATTTCCTACCCTTGTTTACACCAACCTAGATGTCTTCAGTAAATTTAAAAGCATCACTTTTGCAACTTCATCCCAAGGTTCCCAAATGTGAATGTGTACTTGTGATTTTGTAGATGTAACTATTGGCTTGCTGTGTTCCAGTTCGATTGCATTGAGATTCAACAGATGCATTGTATATCTTTGTAGAATTGTAACCCTTTATGATAATGCATCAGTGCCCTATATCTTGAAAATTTTGATGTACACTATTGAATGATGTTAAGAAAGATTTGGCGAAGCAAGAATCTTATACATAAGTGAAATGAAATACTATCTCCAGATATATAACAAAATAGACAAGGTGCAATCTCACTGTTCTCTCTATATGCATGCAATATAAAACCAACCTAAGCAAGCTCTTTCAATGTTGGAACACAGTCTAAATATTATCAGAAGGGCCAGCAGAATCTGTTGTTGCTTCCATTCTAGGAATTTTTTTGCCATTACCAGGTGAGGAAAATCATCCAAATCATGCAAATTACAGTGATTGAAAATGAAAATGGTCGTTTTTCAGTAGAGTTGGGCAAAGTTGGATATTAATCCGGAGGGGGAAGCTTGCATTCAGCTCCATTGAAGTAGACTCTCCGGGGAAATCCCCATCCTGACTTTAATGTAAATGATTCCTTATCCTTTTGCATAAGCACCTCAGACTGAACATTCCCCGCAGGTCCAGCTTCCATCAAGAGATCATTGTAAAATTTCATGCCATAGAACATGCCAGTATCGTCTGTGTATCAGGATTGATCGTTAAGTTCAGTTCGATTTTTTATCTGCACGAAATTAAGAATGAGAAAAAAGCTAAATTCACGTTCAGATGCACTCACTAACGGATTGGTATGGCACGAGAGGCTTGTAGTTGAAGCTGAAAACTTGAGTCACATTGTTGAGATTAGGATGTTGTGCCACAAGTGTCCACTGTGTATAGTTCAATCTGTAGTTGAAGTTAGTGATAGCAATCTTGACTCGCCAGTAATCCTTGTAATTGATCTTAACGTGCCAATGCACGCGTATTGGGCACATATGGTGGGTGCATTGTAGCAATGGCTCATTATCTTTTCTTGGAGTATTTATTCCCTTCTTTTTCAGTTTCTCGGAGTCGCTCCTGCATCATGAAATCTCAGACTAATTATCAACTGAATGGAAAAGCTCAAAGTTTGCAATACAAAGCTTCAAGATTTGAGAAACAAAATTTCTCCATTTCAATTTCAAGTATCTGTACAGTTCCACTGAAAAGGATACCTACATGATGCAGTTGTGTTTATGGCTGCAACCACAAGCACAGGTTGGGCAAGGAGTGATGGTGTCGTTGTAGAAAGTTGAGAAAGAAACACAACAACTCGGGTACTTGGACGCTAGAAACTGAGAATAGGTGCATGTCACATTCCAGGTCACTGCAAGCAATGTTTTCATCAACCTGATTGCTTATTTATTTAACTTCTCAAACTGACAAAAGCAAATTTACACTAGGAGGGGGATTTAATGCCCTTCTTGAAATGACCAAAAATAAAAGAGAAAAATAGGGAAACTTACTCAATGCTTGAGTTTTTCGCCTGTGATCTGAAGTGAGGAAAACAGTGGATGGAACTATCTTAGCAGGGCCACAAGTGTAGCCTGGTCCTGGACCAAGCAGACTGAAATTCTTGGGCAGTTTCACCGTCTTGTTTGATGTTCCAGCAAGTCCAACACTAAGCTGAAAGGAAGAAACTGACTCGGAAGGATCTTCGCCCCAAGATGCCATAACACCACCTTTGCAGCAATTGCTGAACTGTTGGTTGTAAGGAACTCCAGGAAGCAAGTCAAGAATTACAGGATCCTTCTTGCAACAATGTGGTACATTTCCTTTAAACTTGGAGCAGTCACCTTGTTCTGTTGCTTGTGCTCCCACTATGGACCATATCACTTCTTTCTTTGCCCAGTTCCATCCTAAAGTCCACCCTGGGCTCATAATGTGCCGATACATTTGGAAATTATTCATTGTTACTACAGCCTGGACGAATATTTTAGATTGTCATTACTCATATATTCCTTTGTGTATTTCAATATTATGGAACTCAAGTATATTTTACTCCTTTTTTATGCTTCTTTCAACCCTTTTTCTTGAAAATACTAAGGTTTTAAGAAGATACTTACTACATAGCCATCTGGTGTCCAAGACAGGACATCCCATTTTATTGTGATGTTACCAAATGGATCCAATGGATCAAATGCATCTGAAGGTAGAAAAGAATATGTAAATTGATTACCAAGGAACAAAAGAGAAAGGGGCTATTATAATATACAATTTCCTATATAGGTATGTACTGTACCTGCATGAGGCAAGATAGAAGACAAGACGATTGCGAAGAAGATCAGCTTTGCTAGAGGAAATAAGAGGAGTTGGCATCGATCGGAATAATCTTTTCCTTCAAAAGATATTCCTTTCTGAGACATCGTTAGTCTCGTATGTCTTGATGTTTAAGGATCTTATGTTATATCTAAAAGAATGAAGTTGGAGTATTAAAAGATTGGGATTTTAAGCAGAAGGTAAATTCATGTTGATGCCACACCTAATGGTTGTTGGGTGTTTTATGCCATAATATCATTTTCTCACCCCCACTCCATAATACTCTCACCTATGGAAAGTTGTGAAAGGCGGGAGAAAATGGGACATCTGAACGCAATAGCTAAGCAGTCATTTCCTAGGTGGGATATATCATCACTTCTGATTAGTGACTTCACTGTACGCTAAACTGGCCTTTTATAGTAGATGTTACGTCTTAATTGCTCTTGATTATGTATAACAAAATTATTAACCTCCACCCCTTCCCTTAAAAAGGCAAAAAATACTACCCTATAACAGTATAAGAATCCGAATTTGATGAGAATATTAATCAATCAATATCTATAACAGTCCACCACCCTTGCAGTTGTAAACGTATTCGAAGGACGGAGAATTTTTTTTCTAATATGTATCATTTTCAACATTATTTAATGTTCTTGAGAGCATATTATATTGTTAAGACCAGGGCAGCTGAGTCAAGGAGGTGTTTCAAATTGATGAAATCCAAGTGAAGTTGTACGGTGAGCTCGAATGCCTCAAAATAAAAGTTTTTTAGCTTTGGCGTTTGAAGCCTCTTGAGCATTGTTACATAACTGAACAAAGATGTGTTAGCAATTTGAATGACAACGACTGTCTGAAGAGGGCTCTTCAGAGTTATATTTTCTTTTTTTATTAGCTTATTCACTCATAAACTAATTCAAGTGGCAGACTGGAAAGTGAAACAACATATGTTTGTGAAAATTTATCCAGCAGGTTGTTGTCAATTAAAATACAGTAGAATCAGAGTTAATCCTAATATCCCTGAAACCTGTATGAATGGTTTACATTTTATGGCACACATTTGATATCTATAAGAAAATGGCATTGGATGATCTGAGTGTAAGCACCTTATTTTTCGTTATAACTCTTCACAAGTTCTGGAAATTGTCAAGTGTATTGTAATACTCATTAATACATTCCTGTTCTTCAATATTTATCACCAAATACCACCACAGGCTAGGAATACCAAGAGAAACAGAAGAACCGCAGTTGGGCAACACTCTTTATCCGGAAGAATTTGGAACAAACGGGTAAGATTCAGGAGATGGCATCACACAGTTATTGCCATTGAAGTAGACCCTCCGAGGAAAAGCCCAACCTTTCTTTAGTGTAATTGTGTTTCCATCCTTCTCAAGTGTTAAATCTGACTGCACATTTCCTTTTGGTCCAGCTTGCATCAGGACATCATTATATGGTTTTCTCCCATAAAACATGGCAGTATCATCTGCATAATTAGATTATCATCAGTCCGATGAATGCCTTGACGGAGAATAGCAAAAGAAAATGTATTGTATCCATATGAATCAAATAAAGAGATAGAGGGCATACTAATCGATGGATAAGGCATGAGACGCTTGTATGAAAAGCTGGAAACTTTGGTAGCATTATTGAAGTTTGGATGCTGAACGACGAGTGTCCACTGTGTATAGTTGAATTGATAGTTGAAGTTTGTGATGGTGATCTTCACTCTCAAATACTTCTTGTAGTTTGATTTCACATGCCAATGCACTTTGACAGGGCACATATGTTTTGTGCATTGCAGCACTGGCTTATTTACTCCCTCTCCACTCGGTGTCTTCCTGCAATTACACTTGTTCGTTATTTTAAAGCTACTTAACAAGGCCAATTGTTACTTGTTTAAACGTGCTATGCGCATCAGTACCTTCATAAGAGAGAAAAGTATCGACTACTAGTACTTAATATAAAGCTTTGAACAATGGGAAATGCATATCTTACATGACACAGTTGCTGCTTTTCTGGCAGCCACAAGAACACAAAGGGCAAGGTGTGATACTTCTATTGTGAAAGGAAGACAAGGAGACACAACACGTTGGTCTCGGGGAGGCTAAGAACTGAGAGTAAGTGCATATCACTCTCCATGTCACTGCATATTGAGCAAAAATATTCAGGCTGTTAGAGACAGACTTAGGAAACACAATTTACTTCCAATTAAAAAGAAAAGGGCAGCTCAGTGCACTAAGCTCCCGTTATGCCGGACCACAAGGGTCTATTTTACGCGGCACCTTACCCTGCATTTCTGCAAGAGGCTGTTTCCATGGCTTGGTGACCTTCTGGTCGCATGGCAGCAACTTTACCAGTTACGCCAAGGCTCCCCTCCAAACACTATTTACTTCCAATCTTGGGTTAAAAATCGTGAAAATCAAACTTACTCATAGCCTTTGTCACTCGTCTACCATCAGGCGTGATGAAACGAGTGGAAGTGATGATTTTAGCAGGACCACAGGTATATCCAGGTCCTGGAGCGAGCAAAGTGAAATTTTTGGGAAGTTTGACGGTTCTGTTTGTAGTCCCAGCAGAGCCAACACTAATCTGAAATGCAGAGAGAGCAGCAGAAGGGTCTTTCCCCCACGAATCCAAAACACCACCCTTGCAGCAGTTAGCAATTTGCTGGTTAAAAGGGGTATTTGGCAACAAGTCAACAATGCTAGGATTTTTATCACAACTGTGAGGAATATTGGTTCTAAACTTTGAACAATCCCCTTGTTCAGTAGCTTGTGCTCCCAACATGGACCAAATTACCTCATTCTTTGCCCATGTCCATCCTAAAGTCCATCCAGGGCTCATTATCGGACGATACATTTGGTAATTGTTCATTGTCACCACTGCCTGAAGAATTTCAAGAATTCATGTACGTACCAAAAATCTCAAACTGCTTAGTATTAAAATGTGAATAACATAATAATTCAAATATATTTACCACATAACCATCAGGAGTCCAAGAAAGCACATCCCATTTGATTGTTATGTTTCCATTTGGATCCAATGCGTCAAAGGCAGCTGCAGTAAAAAGTAAGAAACTCAATTAATTATATTACAAAATTTATCAGAAAACTAGAATCACTCCAATTGAATTTTGAATGTTGAGAGCTACTACTTGAATATAATGAAATACCTCCACCAGAACATAGCACAAAAAGGAGAAACATTAAGGTATAAGAGTTCCAGGAAATCTTGCACTCCATTGTGTAAAACTAATCCAAATTTCTCGAGAATATAGAAGAGCTTAACGAAACAGTCTGCTTACTTGTAAACAGTGAGCTATAAAATTATGATCAAAATTTCCTGAAAGGAGTTGAAGAAAAAAAGGGAATACTGCTTTCAACGTGTAAAAATAGAAGGGGAGAAAAAAAATTGAACAAGTCGCATAGGAGGTTACTTCCTAGAAACAGACTCTAGAATTATTTAATACTGCAACCTCACTTTCTTGGTTTTTATCTACTAGTGTCAAAGTCCAACTTTGAATTAGTTGAATTTGTCTTGCATGAAGAGTTAATACTATATTAATATTGCTAGAAATGCCTCAAAAGAACTTAACTTAATAATGTTATGTACATTGTTCAACGAAATAGTACGAGTGGCTAGTTCAGAATCAATTCGAATCACTATATTTTACTCATGGGTGTAACTTGGACAACACTTTCTCTTTAAAAAAAAAATCTGAGAGAAAGCTCCTATATAACTCAAAAATTGAATTCAATTGAATAGATATTTTGCTTTCTGAACACTTCCAAGAGGCACTAATATAAAGAAGATGAAGAAATCACTTATATAGAGTTTAAGAATGAGAGGATTGAGCATATTATAACGCTTCTAAAACAAGTTTAAGAATTTGCATCGAAGATATGATCCAAAATCCATATCTGGACAATCAATTAATTCTAAAGAATTATACATAAAACTGAATCTCCTAAAACCAAAAACAAAAAATTGAACTATTGTCTGATCCAACTACCACTTAGTTTCTCATGTCTCGTATACTATAAGTTAAATTGACCAAATTCCAGCGTAGCATGCGGGATATCGAAGATTTTAACAGCCTAAAATGTTCGATTAAACTGAAAATATCAAAGGGAAGAAAAAAGAAGGTCGATATTATATGCCTCGTTGGATACTGAATTAAATTATTCGTTTTTTTTTTCCTTCACCCGTTCCTAAAGGATACACGTTACTTCTCCTCCATCGAGGAACTCATGTGCTCCTTCGTCCGAATAATACTTTATTCATCTGTTCCAGTATAAAGAAATAATTAAACACACGGGTCGAATAATATTTTATTCATTTGTTCCGGTTAAAAAAAAGTAAACTAAGGGTACGGTATTTTATATATTGTTTACCCTAAAATTCGAGTAACAATTAAACTTATTTAGTGGTTTTAAGGATACGTGATTTAATCAAATACCAATTGATAAACAAGGAATTGAATAGATAATCTGAATAGTAAAATAAATCAAACCAGTGTTCTAGCAGTGTTTTCGACCTCGATTCGAGATGGCCTCGAGGTTGGGTAACAAGAACAGTAAAGAACAAAAAGTAAACAATGATGAACAGTAATGGATAGTAAGTGAAATAGAGAGCAGCGTTTGTGTATATTCTTATCAGTCAAAAAATCCCCCTACAAATGAATGGGATCCCTCTTTATACAGTAGAGGAATCCTAAATAAGGTACAATTCTAATAACGGAAACAAATTCCATGATTGGTTTCAATAACCGCTTGATTCGATCTGTTACGGAATTTCCGCCGAGATCTTCGGTCGGTTGCTAATATCTCGTCATTCCGTTATTATGCTCGGTCTCGATCTTCAATGAGCACTTCGATCTTCATGCTCCATACTCTACCATTGTGCTCGAGCCTGGTCTATTACGAGCTTACTCTCGAGGCAACTCCTCGTGCCTACGAAATCGGATATGCCCGATTTCGACAGTATACAGATAGTCCCCGCGTTTCTTGGAATAAAATGATAAGAAATGGTTTGAGCCTCAATTTTCTGAAACCTCGATCATGACGTCGTCCTCATGACGTAAGCGAAGGTTGTGACCGAAATGTCCCGTCGGTTCAGTTCCCCAAATCATTAATGCCTGTCAGTTAGCGGTCGGCCACTAGCGCTACCGA